GTTTCTATTCAGATCGTTTATCTCCTCATTTCTTCCATTTGCTTTAACATCTCTATGCTGGAGAGCACATTTCAGAGTGTCTTCTGACATCCACTTTGGTCTTTTGCTCCTTTTTTGTCTTCCTGTATGATGTTCTTGATGTCATCCCACAACTCTTTAGGTCTCCAGTCATTAGTGACTGATGCATCAAATCTGTTCTTGAGATGATTTCTAAATTCACGTGGGATATGTTCAATGTTATATTTTGGCCTTAATGGGCTTGTTTTCATTTTATTCAGCTTCAGCCTGAACTTGCATTTGAGCAACTGATGGTGTGTTCCACAGTCTGTTCCTGGTCTTGTTTTGACTGATCATATGGAGCTTTTCCACCATCTATTGCCACAGATTGTCAACTTGATTTCTGTGTATTTCATCTGGTGAAGTCCATGTGTACAGTCATCTTTTATGTTGTTTTAAAAAGGTATTTGCAATGAAGAAGTCATTTGTCTTGAAAAATTCTATCATGCAATCTCCAAAATCATTTCTATTACCCAAGACCATATTCTCCAACAACCGATCCTTTCCTGTTTCAAACCTTTGCATTCCAATTGCCAGTAGTTATCAATTCATCTTGATTGCATCTTTGATCAATTTCAGAATGAACAAGCTGGCAGAATTCTTCAATTTCATCATCACTGGCTTTATTCATTGGTGTATAAATTTGAATAATAGTGGTATTAACTGGTCTTCCTTGTAGGCATACGGATACTATTCAATCACAGGCAGTGTTGTACTTTAAGACAAATCTTGAGATTTGGGGGGTTTTTTGTTTTGTTTTGATGATGAACACATCATTCTTCTTCAATTTGTCATTCCTGGCATAAGTCATGTGATTGTCAGATTCAAAATGGCCACTACCAGTCCATTTCAGCTCACTAATGCCTAGTATATCAATGTTTACGCATTCCATTTCATTTTTGACAACTTCCAATTTTCCTAGATTCATACTTCATACATTCCATGTTCTGATTATTAATGGATGTTTACAGCTTTCTCCTCCTTTTGATTTGTGCCCCATCAGCAAATGAAAGTCTCAAAAGCTTTACTCCATTCACATCATCATGGTCAACTCTATTTTCATGAGGCAGCTTTTCCCCAGTCTGTTTTGAGTGTCTTTCAACCTGCTGGGCCCATTTTACAATACAATATCTGACAATATTCTGGTGCTCTTCATCATGTTTTAATATTCAATATTCTGGTGCTATCTAACAATATTCCACTATTATTCATAAGGTTTTCAGTGACAAAATATTCTTAAGTAGTCCATCTCTCCTTTTTCCTAGTCTGTCTAAGTCTGGAAGCTCATCTGAAACCTGTCCACCATGTGTGACCCTGCTGGTCTTAAAGTACCAGTGGCATAGCTTCCAGAATCACAAGTCATCCCAGTATGACACACTGACAGGCGAGTGGTAGAGAGATATCATACAATCCAGCAATTCCACTGCTAAGCACGTATCCTAGAGAAATAAGAGCTGCGACTTATTTAAAATAATAAATATAACAGTTATGTTAAACGTAATTATTATTCACAATAGCAAAAAAGATGAAAACAACCTAAGTGCCTATCAACAGATCATTGAATAAACAAACTATGATACTATGAATACTACACAGTGTTAAAGAATAACGCTGAATCTGCAAAATAGCTCACAATATGGATGAACACGGAGGACGTTATGCAATGAAATTAGTCAATCACAAAAGGACAAGTATTTTATGAGATCAATATTATAAAAAGTTAAGAAAAGGTTTGCACACAGAAAGAAACATTTGTTGATGGTTTTCACGGAATAGGAGGAGAAGGGAGGGAAAATCAATAACTAGAGAGTGGACATGTATTAACTTGGGTGAAGGAAAAGGTAATGACACAATAAGGGGCAGGTCAACACAACATGAACAAGGCAAAGGAAGACAATGGGAGGTGCACAAGAGTTAGAGGCAATAAAAGTAAATTTTATTATTTTATTACTGCAATAACAGTAATAACAAACAATAATTTATGAGTGGATACAAAGGTATATGTGCAAGCTGAATAGGGTGTGGGATGGCATATGGGAGTACACCCATAGGTAAATATAGGTTTTTCAGCAGATATTTCTACATACGTATCAGCACTGCTGCAAATATATGTTGTTGTTGTTAAGTGCCATCAAGTCGGTTCCAACCCATAGCGACCCTGTATAGGGTTTCCAAGGAGCAGCTGGTAAGTTTGAACCACTGACCTTGCAGTTCAAATGGCTTTGCAGTCTGGCACATTAATCCACAATGCCATACCAGGACATGTAGTATATAGTAAAGCATAAAAGGTGCAAAAGTATGCAAACTTTTTAGCCATAACCAAATACACTGAGGAACTGTCACTGAATTTGAGGGCTTAGGACCATTGTCAGGGAGGACATCCTTGTCAATTGGCATAATATAGTCCATAAATACAATTTTCTATATCCTACTGGAATTGGGCTGTGAACCACAAGGTCAGCAGTTTGAAACTACCAGCTGTTCTACACAAGAAAGATGAGGCTTTCTGCTCCCATAAAGATTAACAGCCTCAGAAACCCTGTACAGGGTCGCTATGAGTCGGAACCGATTCCACGTGACATAACCACCACCACCACCACCACCACTTTGGTGAGTAGTGAGTGGAATATTAAAAGCTAAGATACAACTATTAGTCTCTTATCCAGAGCAAAGAAGAGTGAAGAAAATCAAAAGTTCAAGGAAACAATTAGTTCAAAGGATTAATAGACAACAGGAACCATAGCCTCTACTGGCCTGAGACCAGAAGCACTAGATGGAACCTGGCTACCACTACCAACTATTCTGACTGAGGCTACAGTAGAAGAAGGTAGGCGGAGGGGAAGAAAATAAAGGACAAAATTCAAAATCATAAGAAAAGACCAGACTTATTGGTGTGACCGTGACTGCAGGCACCGCCTAGACGATGACCCTTCAACTCCCTTCAAAGCGAGAGCTGAACCCACTTCCAGAGCTCCCCTTCCAGCTACAAAATAGACAAGTCTATAAACAGAAGAGTAACACTCAGGATGAACATGCTTCTCAGAACAATTACCATACGAGACCAAAAGGACAGCATTCGCCCAAAAACAAAGTTCAGAAGGCAGGAATGGGCAGGAACAATGGCAAACAGAAACAGGAAGCTCAGGTAGGACGTGAGAAGAATGCTGTTACACTGAGGAGATTGCAACGTAATGTCACAAAACAAAATGTGTGCAAACTACTGACAGGGAAACGAATTTGCTCTGTAAACTTTCACTCAAATCATAATAAAATATTCCCCCCAAATTGAAACAAAGTCTACAATAAATCAGGGGGAGTGATAAGAAGTTACTAGATCAATAGCAACAATAAGGAAAATACAGGAGCAGGGTCAAAAAGCAAGGCCAGAAACAGTGTGTCTGAAGCATACTCAGGTTTCAGGTAAGGTAGCAGGCAGAGGGAAGGCTTAGGAGGAGGTAATGATGCGAAGAGCCAGGAACCAGGACACCTTAGATAGACTGATGAAGGATAAATGAAGGCCCAAGAGAATATTGTCAAAATACAAATGTGATCATGCATAAAACCCTGCAAACATCTGTGGCACTCCAGGTTAACATGCTGGACCACAAAATTGGTTTGAATTGCAAGGTCGGTGGTTCAAACTTACCAGCCACTCCTTGGAAACCCTATACAGGGTTGCTATGAGTCAGAACCGAGTCGATGACACTTAACAACAACAGGGTAAAGACAAAATTCCCTAACAGGTCTACAAAGCCCATGTGGTCTGGCATCCACATTTCCAGCTTCATCCTAAAACACACAATCACACTTGCTCTGTTCCAGCTTCACTGAGCTTCTTATAGGACTGTTTTACCTAACATATTCCCTTATGCCACATGGCCTGTTCCATGCTCTTCCCTCTGCCTAGAATGTTCTTCCTGTCCCCTTCACCTAGTTAACTCCTATGCATCCTCCAGATCTCACCTCAAGGGACACTTAGTTATTGAAGTCTTTCCCAATTCCTGACTCTAAAACAGATCTAAGATGCTAAGCTCTCATAGCACTACTAGCCTTTATTTGAGGCAGATGGTCGTGATGGGGGCGGGGATGGTTGTGTGCCACCAAGTCGGTTCTGACTCATAGTGACCCTGTATAGAGTTTCCAAGGCTGTAAATTTTTACGGGAGCAGAAAGCCTCATCTTTCTTCCATGGAGCAACTGGCAGATTCGAACTGCTGACCTTGTGGTTAGCAGCCCAGTTCACAATCCATTACACTACTAGGGCTCCTTTGAGGCAATGTATGTTAAGGTTAATACTACATTTCTCTATATGATTATTTGATTATGATCTTTCTCCTTCATAAACTATAGGTTTCTTAAAAGCAAGGCTCTTTTATTTGCTTTTGTTCATCACTGCACACTCAGTACCTGAGATGATCTAACTTGCAGTAGTTGCTCAATAAATATGAGGGACTTCAAAAAGTTCATGAAAAAATTCCAGTATTTTTTCATTCCACTTCCACAAATTTTTTTAATCCTTTTCATATTTGTTGAATGAATGCCTGAATTATAGACAGAAACCCAGAGGGTGGAACGGGGCTGACTTTCACACAGTGCCTAAGGATGAAATGAGGAAGAACAGGCCAAGACAAGCTCGGCTTCGAATATCTTCCTACTGGTCACAAACTCTTCCAGTACCATAGCTGGTGGAGGGGCCCAGCAGTGCCCGACTGTTCTGACGGTATCAAGGACAAGTGCAGAAAAAGCACTATTCTGGGCAGGGACCATAGCCCAGAGTTAGGAGCTTCTGTATCCACACCCTCATTTCCTACAGGTGGGGGTTCTCCTGCTCCCCTCCCATGTGTACACACATTTCCCTCACCTCTTACAGGTTTACACACAGCACTCCCTTCTCAGGGGAGCCCACAATGCCCTCATCCCACCCTGGTACACAAACCCTCTCACCTCTCACAGAAGGTATGCAGGCATGGCAGAACCTTGGGGCACCGGTACCGATCCAGGCAGATGCTGCACACCAGGAACTGCTTGTCCATTGGCTGGACCTCTGGTCCAGGGCTATCCTCCCTCTTCGCCATGATGTCCACAGATGGTTCCTACCACTCACACCTGCCTGTGTACAGAGAAATGGTCAGCACCAGGGTAAACAGCATTCCCAGCTCCCCAGTGAGCCTCACTATTCTAATACCCCACAGAGAACTGGCCTCCATTGCTTTCTGGCTCGGGGTAAAACAGGGCAGCGCTTTGGCAGAAGCATGATAGAGTACTGTATTTTTCTGCATATAACACACCCATGCATATTACATATCCATGTATAGCATGCATAGGAAATTAACTCTGAAGTGAGGTTTGGAAAACCCATGTTATACACACGTTATTGATGTAAATACGGTACGTGGGTGGGTGACTCTTGAGCACAGTGTTCTGGTTAAGAGCACAGGCTTCAAGTTCGACTGAGTTTTAAGCTGGCTTAGCCTTTACCAGACATGTGGCCTTGAGCAATTCATGTAACCTCTCTGAGCATGTTTCCTAATTTGTAAAACTGGAATGGTGATCAAATGGTTGGTTGAGAATTTGCAATAGTGCAGTTGAGTGCCTGGTAAGAGATGTCCATTCTTACTATCATCCTGTCCTACCCCCCAGCCCCACCCCTCAATCTCCTCTGCCTTTCCTAAATCTTCCTTCAAAAGACCTTTCCTAATGAGGCATCTCTCCTCTGATGACCTGCAGCTCTGATATGCCCTGGCATACCTCTCAGCACCCCCCCCTGGGATTTCACTCTTAGCCACATCTTCCAGGATCACAATTCTTTGTTCAGCCACACTCGTTTCTTTTCAGTTCCTGAAAGACTTGTTCTCTTTTACTTTTAGGCCATCACATTCTGTTACCTCTACCCAAGATTCTCTTCCTGCCCCCCTTTACCCAGATGAGTCCTATTTATCCTTCAGATAGCCATGTAAATGTCACCGCCTCCAGAAAGCCTTTCTTGATTTCCTCCATGTCTGTGTCCCTTGAGGTTGGTTCTGACTCATAGCTACCTTGTATAGGGTTTCCAAGGAGTGCCTGATGGATTTAAGCCACCGGCTTTGCAGTTAACAGTCCAGTGTCTTCACACTGTGTCCCTTAGCACCCCGATTTCCTCTGTCCCAGCCTCTATCATATTCTACCATGGTTTTCTTATTACTTGTCTGCTTCTTACACTGCATGGAGATTCATTCATTAAGAGTGGGAGCTAGATTTTATTTTTTTTATTACTAGCACTTAGCACAGAGCATGACATAAGGATCAATCTATACTTGTTGAATTCATTCAGTAAGTTAATAAATAATTTATTATTTATTATGCCTACTTTGTACAGGTATTATATGGATAGTGTGATGAACAAAGTAGATATGATCACTCTTCTTTTGGTGGGAAGGTGTTGACAGGTGTTTTAAAAGTAAGCCAATAAACACAATTACAAATTAGAAGGGGAAAAATGAAAAAAATAAACCACATAGGTGAAAAGAATGTTACAAGAAAGCACATTTTGGATTGGGTGATGAGGGAAGGTCTCTCCAAACAGAGCTCTGAGAGATAAAAGAAAAACTGTGGGAGTTCAGATAAGGGTATTGAGGAGTGAAGGAGGAAATCAGTCTAGGCTAAAGCATAACAGAGGCTCTAGAATGGAAAATTCATATGAAAATCCTAAAGACCATATGGCTAGAACAATGTGAATAAAAAGTACGAAACCATTTAGGAAAGTACTCCAAGGTAAGATCGTAAAGCTCTTTGGAGGTCATGTTAAGGATTTGAGTTTTAGTCTAAGTTGAAGCAATCATCCAATTACAAATTTTACTTGTTGAAATTAAAAAAAAAAAAGGACTGAAGAGGAGCAAAAGTGAAAGCAGGGAGACCAGTTAAGAAGCTGTGGCAGCTCTTACAGTGGTTTTAATGTTGGGTATTAGCAGAATTTACAAATTAGGAGCCCTAGTGTAACGCTGTGGGTTAATGCGCTGGACTGCAATGTTGCTTTGAACCACAAGGTAGGCAGTTCAAACTCACCCAGGCACTCCTCGGAAACCCTATACAGGGTTGCTATGAGTCTGTACTGACTCAATGGCACTTAACAACAACATTAGCAGAATTATAGGCCAAAAAGTGGATTGATTGAGAAGAATTTATGAAGTAGAATAAAAAAGATATCATGATAGATTCGATGTGAGAGGGAAAAGAGAATGTCTAGAAAAATCCCCAGGTTTCTTGTTTCAACAAATGGTGGATCATGCAGAGACAGTAAAAGGTGAGGGGCTGGTAGATTCTGTTTCAGGAATGCTAAGTTTTGGTTTGGTGTGATGTCCACATAGAGATGTCAAGTAAGAGACAGAATATGGGACTTCCAAATGGAGGTCTGGGCAGGTTATGGATTTGGGATCATTAGCATATTAATGGCACTTGCAATGAGAATGAATGAGACTGCTTAGGGACTGAGTGAGAAGAAAAGGGCTTGGTACAAAGGGAACCAGCAAAGGTGGCTGAGGAGGGCCCAAAGGGATGGGGCGAGGGCCCAAAAGAGTGTAGTAACAAGGAAATAAAACAGAAAGAGAGTGATTCCAGAAAGGAGAAAGGGTGGAACCAATGAGAATTGAAAAGTATCCACAGATACAGAGCAGTGGATGCCGAGGTCAATCAGCATGACCGAAGAATGAATGGTAGAAGAGGTGAGTTAGCACAGTGCATGCAAAACATTCATGAGAGAAATTTGGCCCTGAGGAGAGGCAGAAAAATACTCGACTATGTCAGAAAAGGAGTCCTGGTGTGGCACTGTGGGTTAATGTGCTAGACTGCAAAGTCAGCAAGGTCGGTGGTTCAAACTCACCAGCCTCTCCTTGGAAACCCTATACAGGGTCACTATGGGACTTGACAGCACTTAACAACAACAACAACATGTCAAAAAAGGCAGCAATGAGCACCAGGTCATCCGTGTCTGTCCCCAGTTAGATGCACCACTGTTGCTGTTTTATGTCACTGAGTATCACTTCTGACTCATAGCAACCCTGTGTAGGGTTTTTGAAAGTAGCTAGTGGGTTTGAATTGCTAACCTGTGGTGAGTAGTCCAGTGCTTATCTTACAATGCCACCCAGGGCTATGGTGTTATTGTTGTTAAGTACTGTCAGGTTGGTTCAACTCATAGAGACTCTGTATAGTGCTTTCAAGGAGCAGCTGGTGGGCTTAAACCGCAGACCTTGCAGTCCAGCACATTAACCCACAGCATCACACCAGGATGTTGTTGTGTTGTTAAGTACCGATTTGGTTTTGACCTTTAGAAGCCCTGTACAGGATTTCCTAGGAGCAGCTGGTGAACTTGAACCATCGATCTTAAAATTCAAACCAACTTTGCAGTCCAGTACATTAACCCACAGCGCCACATGTTGTTAAGTGCTATGGAATTAATTCCAACTCATAGCAACTCTATATGGTTTCCGAGGAGCAGCTGGTGAGTTTGAACCACCAAACTTACAGTTCAAATGGCTTTGCAATCTTGCACATTAACCCACAATGCCACACCAGGACTCCACCCATGCCAGGATTGTTAAGTGCCGTTGAGTCGGTCCGACCCATAGCGACCCTGTAAAGGGTTTCCAAGGAGCGACTGGTGAGCTTGAACCACCAACCTTCCAGTTCAAACTGACTTTTCAGTCCAGCACATTAATCCACAGCACCACACCAGGACTCCACATCAGGATTGTTGTTGTTAAGTGCCGTGCTGTAGAGTCAACTCTGACCCATAGCGACCCTGTATAGGGTTTCCCAGGAGCAGCTGGTGAGCTTGAACCACCAACCCTGCAGTTCAAGCCGACTTTGCAGTCTGGCACATTAACCCACAGCGCCACACCTGGAATCCCACACCAGGATGTTGTTGTTGTTGTTAAGTGCCATCGAGTTCGTTCTGACCCACAGTGACCCTGGTTCCAAGAAGCGACTGGTGAGCTTGAATCGCCAACCTTGCAGTTCAAACAGCTTTGAAGTCTGGCACATTAACCCACAGTGCGACACCAGGACTCCCAGGATAGGGCCTCTCTAAAAACAATGAACTTCCCAGGTTTGGAGATGTGCTGGGCCAGATGTACCCTTGTCTTACATTTGTGTAAGGCAGAGTGGAAAGGACTGCCTGAGAGCATCCTTTGCCAATGTGGGCACTGGGGGCCTGAGGTTCTCTCTCAAGATGTGAGGGTTCTGGGTATGGAGACTTAATACCAGGACAAAACAGCAGAAGGGAGGATAGACTGAGGACTGGCAAAGGAACAGGAGGCCAGACCAGAGCCAAGCTGAAGCTTCCGTCTGGAGAGGGGAAGAGCCCGGAGGAGGAGTAGGCGTGGTCTTCTGGGCCTGGTAGGGGCAGCTAGATGTCAGGCTCCGCCTCCCACTCCAAACCCAAGGGGCTCTCCCAGCCTGTCACACAGGGGTGGGGATTGGGCAACATCCAAGGACAGGCAGCTCCTCCCTCCCTTCCCCTTCCTGCTTCAGTTCCCCACCCAAACACACTGGGCAAGCAGCCGCTGAGGATAAATCCCAGCCCAAATCTCTGAGATTCCCTTCTTCATCTGTGCTTCTATCCCACCTCTCAGCCCACTGTGCTGCAGAGATATGCCCCATGGTCCTATTGTTAAGTGCCATTAAATTGGTTCCCACCCATAGAGACTCTGCATAGGGTTTCCAAGGAGTGGCTGGTGAGCTTGAACTGCTAGCCTTGAGGTTCAAACTGACCTTGTAGTCCAGTGCATTAACCCGCAGCACCACACCAGGCCTCCAAGGCAGTGGTTTAAGTGGACTGTTTATCATAGCAGATGCCTGAAGATTATTGGACCCAAAGCAGAGATTTCACCCTCCTTCCTCAATTCTTCAGGCTGCCGCTAGCCATCCCACATCTCTCATCCTACTATCCTTTAGGTCTCTTTACCTCATTCAGCATTCACTCAACACCTCTGCTCCGCCTGGGGATGGAGAGATAGTCACAAGTCAGCCTTCATGGATTCCACAGTCTAATAAACAAATTCCTGTGATGCAATATGAACAGGACTATGGTGGGGAAGCACAGCTTGCTACAGGAGCACACAAAAGGTCACTTGAGCCAGATGTGAGGCAGGGGAGGGGGCTGGAATTCTCCAGAAGAAACTGGCATTTAAACAGATCTCTACAAGGGGTTCACTACAGTTACAGAGAGCTCCATGCCTTCTGCATCAGTGGACTGTGACGGGGAGGGCTAAGAAAGAGGGGAGGTAGGCAGGAACTACATCATGCAATGCTTTGTTGACCTTATTACGGAGTTTAGACTTTACTTTTCCTTTCTAAGGGTTTAAGGCTTTATCCAAAGAACAAAGGGAAGCTACTCAAGGGTTTTAAGTATAGTCTAACAAGAGCAATGTTTTTACTGCTATATGTGGAAAATAGCTAAGAGGAGTCCAGAGTCAAAAGTTAAGAGACTGACATAATATTTCAGAAGGGGAATGATGGCGGCCTTAACTAGAGAGGGGTGATCAAAGTGGATTTCACAGAGAGGAAGCAACAGGTCTTATTACTATTGTTGTTAAGTGCCATCCAGTCAGTTATGACTCATAGCGACCCTCAATAGGGTTTCCAAGAAACTGCTGGTGTGTTTGAACTGGTGACCCTGTGGTTCCCAGTCCAGTACTGATACTACAGCACCACAAGAGAACTTGGTGACTGGTTAACTTAATGTGAAAAGTTAGGGAAGAAGAATGAGTAAGAGACGACTGCTAAATTTCTAGCTTGGAGACTATGGAAGAAAAACAACTTTGATAAGAGGGTGATAAGTTTAGTGTTTTATGTGGTAAATTTAAGAGACCTATTGGAGACTTAATGTGGGTAAGTACTGGACCTTAAGGTCAGTTTGAACCACAAGGTCAGAAGTTCAAACCCACCAGCCACTCCTCAAAACCCTATACAGGGTCGCTGTGAGTCAAAATCGACTCACTGGCAATTCCTAACAACAACAATGGGACCCTGGTACCATACTGGTAGCACACATTGGGTTGCTAACCAAGCAAGGTCAGCAAATTTGAATCTATCAGCCACTCTGTGGGAGAAAGATGAGGCTTTTCTGCTCCCATAAAGATTTATAGCCTCAAAAACCCTATACAGGGTCACTATGAGTCAGAACCAACTTGATGGCATGCAACCGAAGCAGCAGCATAGGTATTCAAGTGGCAAGGTCCAGATGGCAATAGGATGAATGTAGCCTAGGAAAGAAGTCGTGTCTGGAGAAATGGATTTCAGAGTCATGGAGGTAAAAAGGAAACCTGAAGTTACAGAAGGCTTCACCAGAAAGGGTGTAACTGAATACTCAAGAACCTCAATATTAAAGGGGTGGGTCCAGAAAGCAAAGCGGGCAAAGAAGACTGAGAAGGTGTGGTCAGGGTTATAGAAGAAGAAGGAGGAGGAGTAATATTGCAAAGATAAAGAGAGAAAATAATTTCAAGAAGGGAGGATTTTCATTATGAAATGCTGCAGTGTGAGCCCATGATCTAAACCCTAAGAGAAACTGTCAGTAACTTCATGGAGTGTGGCTTCTAAGGGTCAAGGGAGAGGAAGCCAGGTCCAAGGGACTCAGGAGGAAGTAGATTGTGAGCAAATGAAGACAGTGCTGACTCCACTAGATTCTCAACATCTGCAAGGGTTTTCTCCAAATTTTCAAACCATTTCTAATGTCCCCCATGACTTCCTCCTAATCATCACAAGATTCCCAGGGGGCATGAGTTACGCAGCTGTGAGTGGAGGTGGTCAGGGCATTGGAGAAAAGTGGGCCTGAGAGGCCATCTAGGCTCACTTGCTAAAATGACTCAATCTTGCTCACTAGTCTCCAAATGCATTTTATCATTTGAGGCTTCAGCAAATTGACAAATGATAGCAGGTTACTCTTTGGAGTTACTCTGGAATAGATGAAGCCTTGGATGAGATAAAGTTTTCAACTCCAAGAAACTCTTTCAATAAGACTGGAGGTAAGGGAAGTGATGAAATCCACAGTACCAATTCCCCAACTACTGTAGCAGACTAAGTAGATGAATGATCCATTCAATCAATTGGTAAACCTATCAAATGAACAAACTTCCCTGGGCATACTCAGGGCTAGGTCCTTCAGCTGCGAATTGGAAACACAAAGCTGAATCAGACACCGTCAGCCCTGTTTTTTTTATACATTCTTAGACTAATGTGGGAAACAAACATGGAAATTCATAATGCCATGTGATAAGTGCCATGATATAGACATGTCCAAACTGCTGCTATGGTAACAAAGAGAAAAAAGTCCCTAACCTGAAGATGTTAGAATAAAAAGGCATCCAGAGGAAGGGATATTTGAGTTGGGTCTTGAGGCATAAAGAAAAGAGTGATAGATGCATTGAGAAAACAAAGAACAAAAGAAACAGAAACACAAAAACTTAAGAAATATGGACAAGATGGATGAGAGCAAGACTCAAAAAGACAGAGGCTGTACTGGATGCGTTCATGATCCATTCAATATAGGTTCTCTGCTTGCCTGTTTGCTCCTCCACTGCACATGCCTTAAATGTTTTTAGCTCCACAGGGCTTTGTTCTGGGGGACTCTTCCCTCACTTTTCATACTCTGCCTGAGTAATCTTATCATCTCCTATGGCCCCAGTTACTAGTCAATTGCTAAATGACTCCCATGCAGAAGACTCTCCTGAACCATAGGCTTATATATCTTACTACAAATTGGACATCTCTATCTGGATGATATATACTGACTGGTCCAAAATAGAATTTATTTTCCCTTAAACCACTCTTCCAGTTGTGTCTATCTAAGTGAAAGGCAACACTATTCACCGAGTCACATGAATCAAAACACTAGGATTCTTTCAATTCCTCCCCTTCTTCCATCTTGATTCTGCTTCTAAAATGTATCTTGGCTCAAAGGGCAGGACAAGTAGGATCTTAGTTCTCATTGTGTCATCAGCTGCACTAACTGAAGGTAAGATGTGGGACAATTTCCTCTCCTGTTTCCTTATTTAAGGTGCTCTGGTGGTATACTGGTTACAAGTTGAGCTGCCAACTTAAGGTCAGTAGTTTGAAACTACCAGTGGTTCCGCAGGAGAAAGATGAGGCGTTCTGCTCCCATAAAGATTTACAGCCTCGGAAACCCTGTGCAGAGTCACTATGCGTCGGAACCAACTCCACAGTACTTAGTAACAACAACATTTCCTTATTTGCAAAGTAGGAAGAGAGGTCTTCTTGTTCCCCAAATCTGAAATACCCCAAATTTTATTTCCAGCTAAGGGCCCCTGATTAAATTCCATCTTGTACTCCCTTGAGGATTCAATTTCTAGCTTCCATAATAAGGTTAGGTATTTAAAGGGTGATCACATTTGGCACTATTTCCCTACCAAAATAAAGGTTTGCAGAGTTTGAGCCACCAGTGAGACCTTCTCTGGTCACCCTCCACACTAGCCATATGGTTTTGCTCTGTTTTTCTGAACACAGGGTGTGCTCTCCCAACTTGAGCTTTTGGGGAGCTTTTTGCTCAAGTGGTGGTACCTGACACACAAAAAGTGCTCAGTATATGTTAGTGACAGTAAGCAAGTTTAAATCTCTGCAGTTCCCTCTCACTAGAGAGTGACAATAACAAGACAAGTGAACAAAGCTCCAAGAGAGCAAGAAAGAAGCTTAAGCTTTTCCCCACAGCAAAAGGTAGTAAGTGCGCTGTCATTGGAGGCATGCAAGCCAAGAAAGGCAGGGCACCTGTCAGGTCTGAGGCTCTGATTTCATTTCTGCAGCAAATCAGAGCCCTGATTAAGGAATGAATGGGGCAGTGACGAAGTGGACATATTGCCAGGGAAGACCAGTGAAAAGGACCTTGCACCTGCTATGACCTCCCAGATGTGATCATTCCGGGGGCCAGTCCTGAGCTTCTGCTGTTCACACCTGAGACCCCACATGGGGAACATGCCCAGGGTCTGCCATCAGTTGGACTGACCTCCCTGAAGTGCAGCCTGCTCCTCCAACCTGCAACCATCTGTCCCTGCAGGTTTGAAGTCGGGGATCTGAAGCCAAGTCCATGAGGGAGGGAGGCCAAAACCAGGGAGGGGCCTGAGGTCCTTCAGGCTGGGCCCAGGCTGCAAGGGAACCCGAGAAGGGGTCCCTTCCTATAAGCAGCAGCCTCCAATGAGGCTTCCTGTCCAGCGAGCAGTGCTAGGGGAGGAAAGAGTGTCCTCCATCCTGTCTGGTGAGCCTCTGGGTGCCTGAGGAGGATGGAGCAGGAGGAGTAAGGGGTGGAGATGTCTGCGCCAGGGAGAAAGGAGCCCTTCAGACACGCTGGGCCACAAGATTCCAGAGTCCCACTCAGCATCCCCACCCCACCCCCATCCTCGGCCGCAGTGCTCGGCACCCTCCGCTAACACACACACACAAGCTTCCAAAGCCCCGCGCTCCTCCAAAGAACCATTACCTACCCCCTCGGACCCCCCCTCAAACACAGACCTCACCTGAGCAGCCACAGCCCGAAGAATACCCCCACTACTCTCACGGACATGGACACGCCTCACGTGCATAGTCGGGCACAGCTTTTGAAAAGCATCTGCGCCCCCACCCACAGACACTAGGACAGACACACAGCTTGGACCTGGACCTGGTAGATAAGGATACAAATGCACGCCTGGGCCCCGCCCGTCTCACTCACCGCGGCGGAGGAGGATGGAAGAACCAAGGCCCGGACTGCTGCCGCTCCGAGAGGGGCCCGCGGCACTGCTCCCGCTGCCAGAGCCCGTCCGCCTGGTCCTGCCCGTGGCGCCGCCCCACGTCCCGCGCCTCCGCTTGTCCCCGCGCGGGCGCTGCTGCCGGACCAGCCGCACAGGCCGGAGGGAGGGGTCCAGGCGGGGCTGCGGACGGGCCGGGGGAGGGGGCGGTTCCAGTACTGAAGACCCACCCACACCCCGCCTACCGCCGTGGAGGTCCCGCCCACTGCCCGCCCGCCCGCCCCCTATTGAGTCCGTCCCTTTCCCCCTTTCCTACCCCTAGCCGCCCCCGCCCCCTCCACAGCTTCTGCAGGCTCTGCCTCCGCTGCCGCCCTGTGGAGCAGGTGAGCCGGATCCCGGATCCCCGCCAGCTGCCTCTGGCTCCGGAGGACTCCGGGGGAGGGGAGGTGTAGTTGGTCTCAGAGACTGGGAAATGGCAGCTTGGGAAACGGGGATTCTGGACTCAGGGAGCTGTCTGGATTGCCTCCTGGAGGCACCCTTTCGGGCTTTCTTGTGGGACTCTCATGGAATATACCAGCCCGGTCTCTGCTGAGCGGGGGAGACAGGGATTGTCGTACCTTGGCACAGATCTCTGGGAGTGTATTATTGGGGTACAAAGGTGGAGGACTTAATTCGGCTTTAGGTGCCTGGCTCTCCCTCAGTAGCATCTTCGTGAGAAAATGAAGGTTATAACTAACCATTGGGAATCCTGGTGTGGCGCTGTGGGTAAATGCGCCAGACAGCAAAACCGTTTGAACTGCAAGATTGGCCGTTCAAGCTCACCAGCTGCTCCTCGGAAACCCTATACAGGGTCGCTATGGGTCGGAACCGACTCGACGGCACTTTACAACCACCATCAATTGACTCGCTCCTCACCCCCAAAGACCCAGAGCAAGTCTCAGAATCATCGTATTGTGGGAAAACAGCCCCGGTAGAAAACAATTAAAATTACTGTTAACAGTTAACAGGGACTGAGTGCTTACCAGACACAGAGCCGTTACATGTATTATTTAATATTCATAACCTTAATAGGTAGCTTCTTTTATTAGTCCTGTTTTACGTTTGAAACTGAAGGCTTTGGCTCACTAACTCACCTAGAAAGTGCTAGAACCAGGATTTGAGCCTTGTTTTAGGTCCAGCTTCCAGCCACTTGAAGATTCAGTACCTTTCATGTTTGAAGTTCCTATAAAGTGCTGGCTTATAAGAGAGTCTTCAGAAAGTTTGTAGAAATATTCCATTATCTTTTATTTCCATTTTCCACCAACGTTTATGAACTGTGGACCTTTGCCTAGTAATTAAGCTCCAGACAGCTGGCTGTCCAAATCCAGGGGGCCTGCTTGGGAGCTAGTGCATAGAGCAGTCAGGCATGGAACCCTGTGCTGACAATCTGCTGACTGGGTTGTCCCCTTCACTCAGCCCTCCAGAGGTAAGATCCTGGAATGATTCTAGAGTTCTTTGACCAAGGAGTATAGAGGTAATGACACCTGTTCAAGCTGAATCAAAGTGGTGTCAGGGAGCTTTCTTGCTTCACACACAAGGTTCTAATTTGGGTTCAACACCTGGGTGCTTCAGGGGAGACTGGAACTGCCTCACCCTCATCCACCTGAGTCCCAGTGTTTGTGAATGAGTCCAAGAAAGAAATCCAGCTTGATTTGGAGCTTCAGGCTAATACTAGACTACCCAGACTACGGGCACCGGGACCTGAGTAAAACTAGTTTAGCCCTCGGGACTTCTCCAATGCAGTCCAAATTCTTCATGGCTTACTGCATCCAAAGAGCCATAAGGCCCAGTGAGATTTCTCATGACCTTACTTCAGTCTTTCTCTAGCCACTCCCTCTTTCAGTCCTGTCACATTGAAGTCTTCTCACTGCCTACTGGGGCCTTGATACATGTTGGCTTCTCTGCCTAAAATGTTCTTTCCCCCACTGTGCTTGGCTGTCACCTACTCACCCTTCAGGTCTCAACTTCCAAGTTGACAGCCCCGCCCCCCCACCCTCAGTTTAGGCTAGATGCTTCTCCTGTGCTCCCATAGTTCCTTGTATGTCTTGTATCCTAGGACATATAACTGTATTGTAGTTGCCTGGTTACTTGTCTCTAGCCCCCACTAGGCCCTAAGCACTGTGGGCAGGGACTGTGCTTTATTCACAGATGTTTCCCCAGGGTTTAGCACAGTGCCTGGCAAATAAAAGCACTCAGTAAATATTTGCGGTATGAATGAAGGCATGGTAGCCAGCCAATCCAACCCCTTCCAGATACTGGGCTCTTAAGATCTACAACTATCATGGTACTGGCCTGCAGAGCAAATAAAGCTTTGGCTCCAACTGAGTCGGGAGAGAATGGGTCTCCAGAGTGTTCTTGAAAGTGTGACTTCAGTTGTCTGGGTCTGCCTTTTCAGACCATACAGGGTTTTGATGTGTTTAGGCTGAGCCTTTCTCCTCCCAGCCCCCCATCCTGGAGTCCCCCACAAATTGACCTCTCTGGGCCTGCTTTTATGAAAGGTTTATTCCTAGTGCTACTAGGCCCCAATCTTCTAGGGCTCTGAGCACAAACTGGGTGGGTGGAAGGAGGCCCATTCAGATGCAGGGCCAGAAATGTGGCTCCCCATTATTCCCACCCCATTGGTCCCAGTCTCCTTCTCTGCAATGGGCACACATAGAGGAGGGACAAAGGATATTGGAGGCAACATCATTGGCCCAGGGGAGCCCAAGAAGAGCTGCCACTGGCTGGCAGGACCTTTTGAGGTTCTGCCATTGGTCAAGGGGCAGACCCCAGGAGTTGGGTAAAGGCCTGAGGAGTGATGCCATTGGCCAGGGAATGGTCTTGTCGTAGCCTTTGGCTGTTGATTGGAAGGAAAAGATCTGGGAATGGTGCCCTGTGGCCAGGAGGATATAGGACAGGGCGAGAATGCTTGGCCTGCTGGCCCCCCCTCCCCACAGCAGCTCCAGCAAAACTGGTGTCAAGTACCAACCAGAGAGAGGGAACCCAAGCCAGATGGCAGGTGACAAAGGATGTCCCATGTCCAATTTCCCCCACCCAGGGTCTGGCCCTCCCAATGTCCTTCTTGATAGCCAGGTTGGGCTGTGCGCAGCTCACTGCTCCTCCAGCCAGGATGGCTTCTCAGCTCCTGGCGGCCGTAGCTTGATGTTGAACTGCTGCAAGGTTTGCTCCAGCTGTTTCTGGTTCCCAGCAAAGTAGGCGGACACGGCATTGTGGAAGAGCAGCAGCTGCTTGTGCATCACCTTGATCTGGGGGTCCAACAGGGTCAGCTAAGGCTGGACTCATGTGCCCTCTTTAGGGCTATGAGCCTGGGCCCAGACCAGGAACATCTGCTATAATGGTGCTTGTAGAGCCAGGGCTGAACTCCACCAAGGAGTCAGAGAAGAAGGGGCAATCTGATGTGAGAAGCCTGACTTGATTTGCTGGGCCTGGAGTTCTGGTATTCAGCCCAGAGGGTGATTTTTCCCAGTTATGTTCCCAGAACAGGCAGCCAAATCCTCCAACAGAAAGGGTCCAGGGATTAGAAGGGTAACCTGGTAAGGCCCAGGGTTGAGGGGCTTGTAAGGGAATATCCCACTCCTTACCCAAGTTGTATTTCCCGATTCAATGATGAGGAGGGACTCAGGGGAATGTTAGTGTGACAGATGGAAATGTAGGCTAGGATCAAGGGGGTGGGGTTGGCACCTTGTTTTCTTCCAGAAACTTGAGCTTGATGGCCACATCTCCCCGCAGCTTCTCATATTTGTCCCGATGGGCCTGGAAAGTGGCCTGGGCACTCTCGAGACGGCCCCGTGTCCCTGCATCCCGGGGGCCTAGGCTCAGCTCCTCTAAGTCTGTTCGATAGGCGTCATATTCCAGCCTGAGGAGGGGGGTGATATAGGCTGGTCTCCACTCCTTTGTCCTCCACACATACGCTCCTTTCCTTCTTGAATTTTTCTGCTCCTACTGCCCACCCATGCCAGCCAACTCCCCAGACCCTAGGCCCTGACAGTGTCCACACCTGGCAGCCTCATACTGTTTGACAGTCATGAGTGTATCTTCCATGGTCTTGGTGACCAAAGTGTTGATGCTAGAGACAAAGAAGTTTACAGCCCCTAGCAGGGTCTCTCCATTCTTACACAACAGCTTCTGGGTCTCTGCATTGTAGCCAAATTCTTCCTAAAGTCAAAAAGCATGGACAGGCTGTGAGTAACAGTCCCTGCCTGACTAGAGCTATAGGGCCCTTCACTCCCCTCCTCTCCCCAGGGAGTAAACTGACATCAAATCACACTGCAATACCAAGGGACTGCCTCCAGCAAGGCTCTCTCAGCCAGAAAGTCAGTGGGGCCACCCTGGGGATGCCTGGGGTAGGAATATGAAGGGCAGGGATTCTCAAATAAATTCACAGGAATGAACAGGAAGAACTAGTGCAGCAGGCAGGGGAGGGGTTCCAGTTAGGCTGAACACCACAGGTATTCTTGCCGATGCAGAGGGGCTACTGATGAGGCATCCTCCCCCATCCCCTCCAACTTCTGGACTTCTGTACAAACCCTTAAGCTGCCTTCACAGGTGAGTGTTGCTGGGGGCAGGGCTGGGCCCACCCTGGAGGGGTTCTCCCTGTGGGCTGCAGGAGGGAGGGAGGGAGGCTGAGGGGTGACTGCCTGGGAGGGCCCGGGCCCAGTCCTCCCCTTCTTTGGCCTGGCCGAGCACCTGAAGCTCTGGGGACTTCTGGCTGAGGTCAGCAAAGGCGTCACCCAGTGCATGCTGGGTCTGCAGCAGGCTGTAGAGATGGGCTGTCAGGGCCCGGCCCAGCTGCAGGACACTCTCATACTTGCGCTTCGTCTCACGCAGCAACTCAATCTGCAGTTCTAGCTCCAGGTCCACAGTCCGGGAGCCTCGGCCAAATCGCTCTGACAACAGCTGCTTTGTGCACTGATTGGGAAGTGGGGGAACAGGTCAGAGACCCTAGCACCCTCCCCCAATACAATAGGTAACTACCCCAGCAGCATCCCCAGGTTCCTGGTCTTAGTCACAGATGGGACACTGGGGTCTGGGGAACAGGTACTGAGGGATGTATGGGGGATAGGAAAAGGTTTTTGAGTCCCACCTTGTATGTGTTGATGCCCCATTTCTTGACGATGTCAAACTTCTCTCCAGCGATGCCCCGAGCCACCTCATCTCCAGGGCCAGTGGGAGTGGCACTGTGAGATGGATGGCGGCCAGACCCTAAAGGACCAAGTTCTCTGACATCAGCTTCTCTCAGCTAGAACCAGACACCTCTGGCCCCATCTGTACTTCCCTCCCAGCACATGAAAATGACTGAGGCAGAAGCTTGAGACATGATAGGTTCCCTGCTAGAGGAAAGTCATACCTTGCACCCTAAGACCTAAATCCTAGCATATGTCTCTGAGTTCCTCCAGCCACCTTCTGATGGGGTCAAGGATGATGGGATCTGGTAACAGGAAACCTGATGATTTTCCCAAGTGGAATCATAGTCTATGTGAGATTCATGGGGGGTTTGTTCCTCTAAACTTCAAAGTCTCAAGTAAAATTCTGAGAAGCCTCTCCTAGTTCCAAATCAGTCTTCAACTCCAGAGCAGGAAAACTCCTATGAACTAGACACCTGAACTGGCCTCAAGTGATGGCAGCTGGGAAAGGATAAGTGGATAATCTGAGGAACTAAATGGCAGCAGATGGCCAACCCTGAGAGCTGGTCTTGGGTTGAAGAGAATCCAGGGATTCATACTGGCAAAAGTTCCCAAGACTTTATATACAATTCATGCTTTCCCAGGCGTATCCTAAGGTCCCTCGAACTGTTCCTGTCCCCGCTCTGCACTCACACTTTTTGTCTCTGATCATCCCTACCTGTGGGGATGAGTCCATCACCAGAGCCCCCATAGCCACCAGACACAATGCTGGTTTCATTCAGGTTGGGTCCTGATACCATCACCTGCTGGAGGTCCTAGGGGCCAAAGAAAAGGGGGTTTCAGGAACACGGGGGGGGGGGGGGGCGCAATCATTTTGGGGGTAGGAACAAGGTTGATTAGAGAGAGAGCAAGGGACATCTGCACAGAATCAGAATGAAGACTTGTAAAAATGTCTGAGAGGAGGAGTTAGGTATGTTAGGGGAAGGCTCCGGAACAGGAAAAGAGTTGGGATTCAATCAGGAGAAGCATCAAAGAGAAGTACCTGCTCCAGCCCATCATCCTCAGGAAGCTGCCCAGCTTCACCATTCCCGTGGATGGGGATCTCCATTGTGGCTGCCTTCCCTAGGATCCCGTCTGTCATGGCTGAGGTAGGGAGTGGAGTCAAAGTCTCCACCCCAGGGCCCTGCAAAGTCCAACACAGGTGGTTTCGGGAACTGACCTGCACTGTAGATGAGGAAGGCCTCTCTTGCCATTTCTGAGGTTTTGGAGGTTGTCACCAGCACTTAAGAATGTCCTGGGCTTCAGCCACCACTCCTTTTCTTAGATATATGTCTTTCTCCCCTCCAAGGTGCACATTTTTACTCATGCACACCTCGATCTCAGATGTCTTCTCAGAGTCTCCCAGGCCCACCGGACTCAGGAGTCATGCATGCAATCATTCACCGGATATTGAGTTGAGTGCTTGCATTGAGGCCCTGGGAATGCAGCCGTGCAAGAGTCCATGCCCTCTTGGAGCTTAGCCCATTCAGGTGTGACTTCCCCCTCCCCGCACCGGGGCTCAGGTGCCACTCCCCATTCAAGTATGTCCTGCATTGCTTGTCCTTTCTCACTCCTTAAGTGCTTCTTTCCCCTTCCTTCAAGTGGTCTCTCCTTTCCCCGTCTGGTGCACCTCTTCCTTCTCCTCCGGCCCACCCCACCAGGCCTGAGTTCAATCAGTTGGTTTATGTTCCCTGCCTCTGGTAAAAGCCTCTTCCTTCCAGGACATAGGTAATCCCTTCCAAAGTCTTCCCAGGTGTGTGAGTCCCCGCCCCACCCCCCCCTCACCTGGGCATCAGGTGTGTCCCCATCCTTCCCCAGGGCTCAGGGGCATTTTGCCCTTAGGGCAGGTCTGTGCGTTCAACTCCATCTCGCCCAACTATGTCCTCCTCACCTCGGGCCGGGCCGCTCTCCCCTTCAGGGCGCCAGGCCCGGGCCGCGCGGGGACCTCGGGCTCCAGTTCCCGTCGCGATCCTAGCAGCAGGTCAGGGACTCGGCGGAAGTGACGACCCGTCCCGGGCAGAAGAAGCCGGCCACGTCGCAGATTATAAGGGCGGAGGTGACGTTAGCCTCCGAGGGCGGGGCGATCCTCGAGCCAACCCCTCAGTCCTTGGGGAGCGGCGCGAGATCACTTCCGGGGTGTTGTCAAGCTGTAACGGAAGTGATGTAGCATGCGCCGATGGCGTGATGGAGCAACAACAGCAGCAGCTTAGAAACGTGAGTGAGAGCTAAGTAGCTCCAGGCTTACGTCGCGGTTACTCTAAAGAGCCAGGGCTGGGGCCTTCGGGCTGTGGTGCACGGCCCAGGGCAACTTCCGAAAGCGGGGCCTGAGTTTAGGCGTGGGACCCCTTATCGCTGACTTCCTCGTCCCCTTTTCCTGCAGTTGCGGGACTTCCTTTTGGTCTACAATCGGATGACTGAACTCTGCTTCCAGCGCTGCGTGCCCAGCCTGCACCACCGAGCTCTGGATGCGGAAGAGGTGGGGTACTAAGCGGGGAGGTTATCCTTGATCTTCAAAGTGAACTCTGCAGGCCGCTTCCCAACCGTCCTCGCCTCTACTTCTGGCCCTGGCTGTTCCTCTGCCTTCGCCCTCCAATGGTGCTGGGGAAAGGAGGTGGGGCCTGACAGCACCTCTTTAGCCCTTACACGCACCCTGTCTTCTTTTTAGGAGGCCTGTTTGCACAGCTGTGCTGGGAAGCTGATCCACTCCAACCACCGGCTGATGGCCGCTTATGTGCAGCTCATGCCTGCCCTGGTACAGCGACGCATCGCAGACTATGAGGCTGCCTCAGCTGTGCCTGGTGTTGCAGTTGAACAGCCCGGAGCTTCACCCTCAGGCAGCTAGCTGTTTCCCACTTCAGAAGTGGGGGGCCTGGATGGACCCTCCCGATGAAAGAGCCAATAGACCTTGGACTGGGTAAAGCCTCTACAGAGAAAGTGAAGGGTTGCCTGAGAGAGAGATACCTTTGCTCCTTTTTCTGGAGCTAATAAACGTGCTTTCTTTTCTTTTTTTTCCACTGTGTTTAAAAGTTTCCTTTCTGAAGAGGGAACCCACATTATCGGCACCAGCCTTAGTAATGTCAGTGAGTGCGTATCTGTTTTTAGCCCTGGCTGCTAAGAAGTTGCCTTCTCTATGCAGACCCATAGTTAAAGCAAGGTCAGTGGGTACAATTTTAAGGTTAGTGTGAGTAACAGGATGTTGTTTCTGCCTAGATGACAGAAAATAGGAGCCCTGTCTCACTGTTCTTGTGACTTGATGGGTCACTTGTGAGCCAAGTATGCATTCATTCGTAACTTTTTTTTCACAAACTGTACCAGAAAGATTCTGCCAGGTCTAGGGAACACAGGAGATATCTAAGTAAGGGCAGCAGATCAAAAACCACAGGACTTTTAGGAACTTGTTAAGTGCCGTGAAGTCAGTTCTACTCATAGTGACCCTTTTAGAGTTTCCAGGGAGCAGCTGGTGGGGTTGAACCACCGACCTTGTGGTTAGCAGTCCAGTGCTTAGACAGGAAATCGGTAGCCATGAAGCACTGATGAAACTTCTAAGAATTCTGAAATGTTTTGGAATTTCCACCATTTCCCAGGTTGCTTTCTTACTATTATCTGTCTTCTCAGGATGTGCAATAAAATGGTTAAAGAAAGAAGATCTGTGTGCTCGTGTTTAGGAGTATCCAGGAAGGAGAACACTTGGGGGATCATATTTTATAATACAGTCAGACTTGAGTGGAAACTTGAGACGTTGAAGGTGTATCTCAGCAGCCAGGATTGAAACCAACAGCTAGGCACTAACTAACAGAACGAAGAATGGTGCAAAAAAAATAGGATAAAAAGATAAAGCTAGAGCTTCAGAACCTCTTTACTACTGCCTCAGTAGCTCATCCTTTGTTTATCATCTCCTAACTCTAGCTTTCGCTCTTACCCTGAGTTTTTCTCACTGTACCTGCTATGTGATTTCTAACTGCAGTCTCTAGTCTATCTTCATTTATTACACTCCTTGTGGAATTTATTTCTGTTTCAGCAATCTGAATGGGATATCATTCCATCACTACAATTTCTTGTTGCCCTTAGCCCCTTTGAATTCATTTAGCTGTTTTATCTTTTCTATTTTTCCATCCAGGCTGTTAGAGGAAAACAATTGTGTAATGAGTGCCACTGAAAATTCATGATCTACCACTTCAGTCAAGCCCTCATGATCAACTAACAATCCTTTGTACATTTCTTTTCCTAATCACCAGAGCAGTTATTTTACACCTTCTCTCTCTCCTTAATCCCCCACTCCACCTTCAGCTATCCATTTGGTGACTCTGCTTCATTTTTCACAAAGGAAATTGAAGCTCTTAGACATTGGCTCCCATAGTTGTTTTTTTAAAACTCCTTATGTTGTTAAGTGCCATCAAGTTGGTTCCAGAACCTCTTAGTGACTCAGTATACAGTTTTTGAGGAGCAGGATTTGAACTACAAACCTTGTGGTTAGCAGTCGTCCAGTGTTTATCTTGAAGCGCCACACCAGGACTCCATATAACCACTTACAAAACATATTCTCTGCCTACTATGTATCAGGAAGTGGAAATTCTCAAGTTGCAGACCCTGAATTAAAACAGGTCTGACTTCAAAGCCCATGTTCTTGTTAACACCAGGATACCTCTCTGTATCTATTGAGAACCCAGTTTGTATAGATTCTAATATTGGTATATGTTATGGTTTACTTAATCTTCATAGCAAAACTACAACTAAGAGGTATTATTCCCATTTAATAGATGATAAAGGAAAAATCCAGAATCAACCAGTTGCCCATCTCACACATTTATTGAGAAAAGTGGCTCCAATCAGTGTTTTGTCCTCTTCAGCTGCTATTTCTTGAATGGAAAGGTGTATTAGGAAGGTGAAAGTTGCTGACCAGGAATTTCCCTACTGATACGCTTTGTGTCTGCCTAATGAAATTCTACCCTTGGATTAAAGTACAAGAAGGCTTCAAAGAGTTCATGGGAAAATTATATTATCTTTTAATTCTTAATGACTCTGCACAATTTTTGAGGAGTGGCTGGAGGATTTTAACCACAAACCTTGTGGTTAGCAATCCACAAGCTTTTTGAAGCCCCCTCATATAAATGCAGGTGAAACAGTTTGTGAACTTAACCAACTCCCAGAAGCAGGAGAATTCTATTTCAACATTTGTGTGTGTCCTTGAAATAAACTTCCACTATGAATTACCTGTATCTCCTATCCGTAGAACATACTTAGTTGCTAAATCTATCTTGGGTCATGACATAATGGGATAAATGTTGCCAAAGATTGATCATATCAAACAGAGGAGGCAGGGTTGGTGTTTCTATCATTGTGACCTCTTCCCTTACAAATTCTCATTTCTTTGAGATGATTTGATCATAACACCCTCCTCACTACTTGTCCTTGAGAAATTACCACCCTTTTGCCAATTGCCTCCAAAAACCTAGGCCATGTTAGGTGCTGTTGAGTTGCCTTCAACTCAGTGACAATATGAACAACAGAACTAAATATTGTCCAGTCCTGTACTGTCCTCAGTTGTTATACTTGAGCCTATTGCTGCTATCACAGTGCCAGTCTATCTCACTGAGGGTCTTCCTCTTTTTTGCTGACCCTCTACTTTACCAAGCTTGATGTCCTCCAGGGACTGGTCTCTCCTGATACTATGACGAGATTTTGTGAAATGAAGTCTCGCCATCCTCGCTTCTAAGCGTTCTGGCTGTGCTTCCAACACAAATTTGTTCTAGCAGTCCAAGATACTGTGAATATTTTTCTACATCATAACTGAATACATCAATTCTTCTGTGGTCTTCCTTTCAAACTTTCAACTGTATATGAGGCTACTCAGTACCATGGTTTGAGTCAGGCACACCTTAGTCCTAAAACTGACATCTTTGCTCTTAAACACTTTGAAGAAGTTTTGTACAGCAGTTTTGTCTAATGCTATATGTCAATTGATTTTTTTTTCAATTGATTTCTTGATTGCTGCTTCCAAGAGTGTTGGTCCAATCAAAATTAAGTCTTAGACAACTCCAGCCTTTTCCCCATTTATCATGATGTTATTGCTCCTGTTGTGAGGATTTTTGTTTTCCTTATACTGAGGTACAATCAATACTGAGGCTGTGGTCTTTGATCTTCATCAGTAAGTAATTGAAGCACTTTCAGCAAGCACAGTTGCATCATTCTGCAGATCACATGTTGTTAATGAGTCTTCCTCCAATCTTGATGCTACACTCTTCTTCATGTAATACAGGTTTTTAACTATTTGCTCAGCAAACTAAGTATGGTGAAGGGATACAACCCTAGTGCACACATTACTTGATTTAAACTATTCAGTATCCCCTTATTCTGTTCTAACAACTGCCTTTTGGTCCTTATACAGATTCCTCATGAGCTCAATCAAGTGTTCTGGAGTACCCATTCTTCAAAATGTTATTCATACCTTGCAAGAATCCACACAGTCAAAAGCCTTTGCATAGTCATAAAGCACAAGTAAACATATTTCTGGGATTCTCTGATTTCAGCCAAGATCCATCTATTTTAAACAAGGATATTCCTCATTCCACATTCTCTTCTGAATCTGTCGACGTACTGTTGTAGCTGTTTTTTAATTATCTTCAACAAAATTTTACTTGCCTAGACCTGGGGACTCTTGAGCCCAGAGTCAGTGACAGCCACAGAGGACTAGAGTGGAGAGGGAAGCATCCAGCTGATAAGAAGAGAGGGCTTATGCATAAGAACACCCACACTTGCAGATAATACCCACTTGTCCTGGCTTCAATGACTGGATGATCAGAGCTCAACTAGAAGAAAGAAGAGGAAAAAAAGAGTAACCTGATACAATTTGATGAACTTGACCTACACCCATGGATGCAGTAGCTCAAAAGAGGGGACAAATCTTTACAGCAAGAATCATTCCCGTTGGGCACAGGAGAGCCTGGGTGCGAGGGAGGGGGGCAATATACAGGGAGGGAGAGGGAAAGGGAAAAACGGGGCAGCTGGGGGGACAATTGGGCATAAGTGAAAGGGCCGAAGGGGACAGAAATAAGATATATACACAACCTTGGAACGGCAGGGCTCTGAGATACAGGGACTGAGTCATGATTAGAATGGGGGGGTATCATGTTAGGATGCTGGAATGTCTCTATTACGTGACTAACCAAGGGGCTGGAGTTTTAGTCTGTGTTACAGGTCAAAAGCTCTCCAGTATAGATTCCAGCCAGACTAATTCGACCCTATAGCGAGCGGACAGCCACTTCATCTTTGGAGCTAGCGTGCCTGAGGGAGCCAGCATTCACTGAAGACCCACCTGAAAGAGGGATGTCATCTGCATTTCCATTGAGGTCCCCCCCAGCAAGAGCACCAATGAGCCAGCCACAGCAGAGAAGACTTTAAGAACTGTTTAACCCTTAGGGAACTGGATAAACCCCAGAGACATTCTGCTGCTTTGCTTGTCGGGCATGGGGAATGGGGAGTTAATAGATGTTACTGTTTTTGCAATTGTCCATCAACCATCATAGGTTTTATCCCCTGTTAAAGTTTTCAGAAGCTAGGCAAAGCATTGC